ATTTCCTACGTCTTCTGTCGTGTGATGGGTGAGGGTCGCATAGCAAATCCCTGAGTTTAGTACACGAGACAGAACCTGTTTTGGGGCACTAATCACGAGTTCGAGACACTAACCAACTGGGAAGGGTTTGACGTAACGGTATTACTTTTTTTTTGCAAAGCAATTTTTCTAATTTTAGTAGTGAAAATTAAGTCGTCACGAACGAAATGAGAAACTTTCAGTAGTGTACTTACGTTAACATTAGTTCGCGCGTTTGAGACCCCTTCTCGGCCCGTGCGGTTATGCCTTGTCACGATGTATGACGCTCAACGTCATATACACCGGCCTATCCGCTACCGAGCGTCTTTCCTCGTTAAAGGTATCTGGCGGTTACAATTTTCTACGGGTTAAAATGTCGCGTCTTGTTCTTTGTACAAAGATGGGATCGCGACGAGGTTATGTAAAATAATAGCTATATCAAATCTAAGGTGGAAGTACTAAGTACTTTAGACACTACCTAACAAAAAGATTGTGCTGGGAGAATAAATGATAATCCAGAAATTTCAAAACGTATTTAATCCCCGCACCACTGTGTAAAACTCACTGGCGAGACAGTTCACTAGCGGATCGAGGCCGACGATCGAAGAACAACGAGAGAGACGATCGACGAGGCACATCGGATCGATGTCCGGCCACTCCGCACACGACGCGTCGCCCCCCAGAGACGGACCAGTGCAAGTAGGTCCTTTGTGTTGAAACTTCGGGCCGGCACCAACCAACAAGAGTACGAATTATGCCCCCCGATAACACTGAGTGAGACGCCAATTTTGTCTGCCAACGTACCCTTACTCACGAAATTAAATAACGCAATTCCCTTTAAGCTCACCGAAATAAATACACAATATATTTGTTTCTCTGAATCGAAGGGGGAAAATACAAAAGCATTTCACACAATTTAAACCAATCAATGTTGTGTAATTAACAAGGTTAACCTGGTGTTTTTTAGTCGATGAGTAGTGCAGATATCACTGTAAAATCAATCGACAGTAAGGGAATAGGGGTGTACAATTCTCCGTTATCCAATGGGAATGGAAGCTCACATTGCCTTTAAGGGCAGCCGACAGAAACGAATGCCGTGCTTCCATGAGCGTCAAATCCCGCCGCAGATGGGAATACATTGCAATCAGTTGAAAGCTATTTGTGTCCCTTTATGAAGCTGAAGGAGCCTAGGAGCATCACAACTGCACGCCACGGGACCCTGACCAAACGTCGCTCCTGGACGATTATGGAGTGAGAGTGTGTTGGAGGAGTCGTGGAGGGGAAATTTGAGTATTGAGAAACCTCTATGGCCAAGACGCAGGAGAACACGGCGACGCAACAGCCGGCGTCGGCGTCGGTGAGTCCTCTGGTGACTGCTTGGTGTGTCAGGGCCTTAATATGTGCAATAACAATAAAGTTGAATCTAATCTTGAGCAGGAACAAATGTATTTACTTAGTACATATCTGACATTAACGATTAAACACATGTGTGCATTCTTTATAAATGCAAACCGAGTCAAGCCGACTCCGGAGGTGGCGGTATGCACCTTAAAGTTGTTTGCAATCCGCCAAAAAACCGAGAGAAGAAGAAGAAGAAGGCGAAGAAGAAGGCGAAGAAGAAGGCGAAGAAGAAGAAGAAGAAGAAGAAGAAGAAGAAGAAGAAGAAGAAGAAGAAGAAGCCGACTCGGAGCTGTCCGACTTCAGGCAAGCTTTTTGAGACCTCCCCCGGCTGCGATCGGCTATTCTCGTCTACTTTCGAGACGAGCCGCAAGGCGTCTCAAACAAGCCTATTGTGGGGCAGCATTTTCTCCTCTCCTTTCGGTGAGGGAGGTCCAGTGATTCCTAAGCTAAAGGAGGTTATAAAGGAAGTTTGAAACCTCCTTTCCTATCATCATAATTCGAACGGCACTTATCATGGTTGCCACAGAGACGACTTCCGGGTCATTTCACTCGGTTAGGAAGGTTCCTAAGCTAAATAGACTATTCGACTGCAGCCCACGAGAAGCAGGGAAATTCGTTTTAAGAGCAATAGGACGTCCTTTCTTCCGGAGCGTCACGTGAAGCGACGTCTGTTTGTGATGACACCGCACAGCTGTTCGTCTGACAGCAGCCAGCTCCGTCCCCGTTATTTTCACAAACACCCTGTGAGGGTGTTTGTTAGTACACATTTACTGACACAAACATTTGTATCATCTGTTGTAGACCCAAATACATTAAATAAAATAAGAACTCATTCTCAAAAAAGAGAAATGCCATTCTTAAAATAAAAGCGATCATGAAAATGTTTCCAATAAATGAATAAAATGATTTTTGACCACTTTGTTGTTCAGATATATCACATATTTGTAACTAAATGATACATTAATTTAAACAAAACACAGAATAGACTGAGGAGTGACTCGTGAGTTCAGTGGCGGTTCTAGACCAATTTGACTGGGGGGGCCAGGCTGGGGGCAGTTATTTTCTGAGGGGGGCGCACAATAAATGCAGGACGGAAAAAGAAACAAAGACAGGTATTGAAGTAATTGCGCCATACACCTAGAAACAATGCAGAGCTACGTGAAAAGCAGGTAGCAGTGGCGGTTCTAGACCAATTTGACTGGGGGGGCCAGGCTGGGGGCCAGTTATTTTCTGAGGGGGGCACAATAAATGCAGGACGAAAAAGACAAAGACAGTATGAAGTAATTGCGCATACACCTTGTATTATACAGCGTTTACCTTTGTGTGCTGGTTGAGGGCTTGCGGGATTACCGGTAGCTTCGGTGCTCGACGTGTTGGAGACCCCTGCTCTAATGGGTCCGACTAGAATGTCAAATATTGTTACTTCTGCCTATTCCGTCAGCCAAGAAATCGTTTAATCATAAACTTTTTTTTGTTTTCATTTTTAGGGGGGCCACAGGGGGGTCCAAAGACAGTGTTAGTGGGGCACTGGCACCCCTGGCCCCCCTTAGAACCGCCCCTGCGTGAGTTTCATGTTTTTTTCACTCCGCTGGGAAACGGCTCTCATGTCAAGAAGCATCAGATCAGTGCATGCGCTGCATCGTCCAATCAGTGAGCGATACACAGTAAGGGGGCGGGGCGAGTATCTGTGGATTTCATCGGAGGATGGTCTGGTGGTTCCTCGATTATCGCTCCTCCATTATCGCTCCTCGTTCCTCGCTCCTCGCTCCTCCGGCAGAAATAAGCGCCATGGGACGGTACTCAAGATGGCGCAGACAAATCAACTTCCGGTGATACAGAGGACCGATGAGCGAGGAAATGAAAATAATCGACCTGAGATACAGCCATACGATGCAGCGTGAGTCTCGAGGATAGGAGTCGAGGAGGGGAAATTAGAGTATTGAGAAGCCCCTCATGATGTCAATTCAACCCGGACCCGCAATTCCTGCACGTCTATTGGCCGATTTTTCCTGTCTATCAAAATGTACTGTTTCGATTCGGCCAAATCAACTTTAAACCCCTCTCTCTCTGCTCGCCCTCAACAATAGGCTGGCTGGCGTCCCAATTGCAGTCTTTGAATCACCTCATTGGTTGTTTGCCTAGTCAATCAGACCATTCTTGGCCGTGATTGGCTGCTCTGTCAAAAGTAGGTGGTACATTTCCGGAAAATGCATTTCCTTGTCTGTCATATGCGAAGCTAAGGGAAGAAGAACCGATTTATCCTCTGGATAAATAAATATACCATTTATCTAACAGAAGAAACACGCCAGGCATTTGAATTATACATGATATACAACCTCAATTTGACCCAGGTAGCTTAATGCTAAATTTAGCCGCCGTTTCGTATCAGTGTTTGTTAAGCTAGCTGTTATCACGTCGCTATCTGACTGCAGCCCCCTGCTCTCCAAACACACCGCCTTTGTGGCTATGAGTACGGATTTACTTTCTGATTTGGACAGTCGTTTCTTCGCTGATAACCTCCTGACAAGCGAAGACTGGGGTGAGTTAACGTTTAATGCATTCATAATGTAAATACACGTGTTCAAACGATACAAAGCTAGACGGGTGTGATAACGGGCGTGTGTGGATGCCCCACAGTAGTGCTCCAAAGCCGGGGAGTATAAACTGCGAACCCCCCTCCCCCATGGAAAATCTCCATTGTGAAAAATAAGGGTGTTATTTAATAAAGAATGTGTGAAACTATGCCCAAGATGCCCGTAGCATGCGGTTGCAGTGTGCATGTATGCTTCCTTCGTCAGCAGACCCGGATATGCCTGTTTATCTCTAACACGGTGTGTGGAAACGAGATCACACATTTATAGAAGCACTTGTTCCTTCTGGTCTGTTCTCTTCCTTTAACTCTGTGAGAACCACAGTTTCTCGTCTCGTGTTGCTTGTTTAAACTCAGTCATTACACAAGCATGGGAATATGGCTTCTAAGTGGTTCGTTTGAGAAGCATGCTAAAATAAATCCACCAAACTGAATGTACTTAAAAGATAACACCAAACTGAATGAAGTGTTAGCAGGTTATTACCTGTTTAAACATGAACAACACTATGGACCTGACTCTGTATGTCCATCATGTTAACATATTAGATTAGATTCAACTGTATTATCATTGCATAGTACAAACGTACTAAGACAACCACTAGTGGAAGAAGTACTCAGATGTGTTACTAAAGTAATACTAATAACTTACTTAAATAACAGTACAAACGTGTTGGCATTAAAACATACTTAAAGTACCAAAAGTAAAAGTACTTATTATGCTTAAGGGCCCATTTCAGAATCATATTACATTACTTGATTATAGTGTGTTAGTGTGTTTATCACAGATGGTACATAGATCTCATTTGAAGGCTTCCAAAATGTAGTAAAGGATAAAGGAGCATACAGTGAAAACACTCAGGTAAAGTACCTCAACATTGTATGCAGTTTAGCATCTAATCGGGAGTGCAACAAACTATGAAGTGCAGAGCAAGAGTAAGAAATATATTCAAAATAAAATGTAGGATCAAAATAAGGATAGTAATACACAACACAATGTGTGAGCAATATTAACAGTGTGTATGGATTCAAAGTATGCACATAGTGCAGTGTAAGTAGGAACGAGCAATATGGAGAAAAAACATGACCAAATACCTCAATATAACATTGTTGTTTTAAGGTTGACACATTTGGCTTTCACAAAATATTTACAAGATTATTTAAAAAAAAAAAAAGGTAATGTGGATTTACAGTGGGTCAAGGAACTTAATGCAAACGCCTGTTGAATTCAGGAAATGACATAACATTTCTGTAATGTGGAAGCTTTTTGAACAGCAACATATAAAAGTATCTTTATACTCTAAGACAAGATTTAGTCTCATATCATACATAATATTGATAATAATGATATATTACCGAACCTTAAATGCAGGAAACGGTATACAGGACTGTCTCAGAAAATTAGAATATTGTGATAAAGTTCTTTATTTTCTGTAATGCAATTTAAAAAAAAAAAAAAAATGTCATACATTCTGGATTCATTACAAATCAACTGAAATATTGCAAGCCTTTTATTATTTTAATATTGCTGATTATGGCATACAGCTTAAGAAAACTCAAAAATCCTATCTCAAAAAATTAGAATAGTTCCTCAGACCAAGTAAAAAAAAAAGATTTATAACAGCAAAACACNTGTTTATCCTCTATACTGTCAACGTATGAGCATTACTTCTATACCGTTTCCTGCATTTACGGTTCGGTAATATATCAGTATNTATACTGTCAACGTATGAGCATTACTTCTACAGGACTGTCTCAGAAAATTAGAATATTGTGATAAAGTTCTTTATTTTCTGTAATGCAATTAAAAAAACTGTTTTTTTAATTGCATTACAGAAAATAAAGAACTTTATCACAATATTCTAATTTTCTGAGACAGTCCTGTAGAAGTAATGCTCATACGTTGACAGTATAGAGGATAAACAGCTGGAGGCATGATGTGAAAACTGTGTATAATCATCAGTGGTATATATTCTATAGTTTAGTATATAGTATGGACAGTAGTGCAAGTGTGGTAAGGTGAGTGTGTATTAAAGATAGTTTTTTGGTGTAGTCAGAGTGCATAAAATAAGATACATGATAATGCCGACTTATTTGCATATACGTTACTCAGGCTGTGTTAAGAGTGACTTCCTGGGAGCCCTATAGTATCCATCTTTCCACATATCTATACATCTCTTGAAACCAATCAGAGACACACAGCAGTGAAACATAACCACCAGCTGCTGTAACGTTTTGTTGCTAAATTTGGCCGGCAAACATTAAGATTGAGCAGGTCTTCTGTCTGTTTAACTCTTCTGTTGTTCTTAGAGGAGATTAGATGAAACTTGAATGATTCCCGGGAGAGAAGTGGGTCAATGCAGCTGCAATAGAGATGGAGGCTAAAACACAATGGATATTGACGGCAAAAAAAACCACTGAGGTTATTTGGGAGAAAAAATAAAGCATTAAACAGGTTGCACTTCTTTTCAAATGGGTCCTTAAAAGAAAAAGGCTGTATCATTTAATTAATTATCAACAGATGCGATTATATTTTGTTTGTAATATCAATCTTAATATGCAAAAATGTTGTTAAATAAATGTAGTTGAGTACAATATTACCCTCTGAGATCAAGTATCTTACAAATTGGAAATACTCAAGTGAAGTACACATAAAATGACTTAACTACTAACTCCTTTTTTTAAATGAATAGGTATGTTTTTTGTGTATGTTGTTGTTTTGATGTTGAAGAAACCAAACATGAATAACATTCCAAAGTGTTGTTATGACATTTGAATATGTGATATCTCGAGTACAGAGCAAATATTTGCTGCTACACCAGCGATTCACACCTGCTCTCTTGGACAGGATATGGTTCAATCAGGGCCTCCCTGTTTGTTTCAGTGTCAAAGTCCACACACGTTTTTTCTTAAGGCAAAGCAGGACTAGAGTCAGACAGGGTCATAGTGAAATTCTCTTTACCACATATGCTGCTTAGAAATACCAACATTTTTTTATCTGTCATTTTTTTGCCATATAATACGAGTTAACAAATTAACCAGGCAATTCATCCTTGTGGAACTTTTTCCTCTCGGTTTGTGGGTTTATTCTGGTTGTAGGCAAACTGGTTATATCTTACACAGGCTCCGTCCTCTACTGGACTCTATGAGTACTACCCCTTGACCTTACTATGCGAGCGTTCACCTACTGAGATATCTTTAAACGTAGCCAGCCCTTCGGGCGGGCCTACCTGAGTGCGTGCGCAAGCCCACCGTATATAAGGCGGCCTCGCCTCCTGACTGTCACTGTGTTTTATGAATACTCACACACTTCCTCAAGGATCCAAACAACATTGTCATCCTGTAACACAGGCTTGCTCAATGGAATGCAGTTGTAGCTTAGTAGTCCATCAGGCTGCACATTAAAAAAATATTGCGAAAAAGAGAACAGTAAAAAAGCAGAACTGGTGCATTCTTGATGAGAACAACAAAACAAAGAAAATCAATGATGAATTCATCTTGGCAGAGACTATGGCAGGCTACAAACGTGGCTAATCTTAAACATTACAACATTTCAGATCAGGAGAACATTGTCCCTCAACATGACTCCTACACCGTTCGCATAGAGGGTCCACCACATTGAGGCCCATTCCCAAACCGCGCCCTACACCCTAACCCTCCATTTGCGCGTTCACGCAGAGGGTCCGCCATATTGGGGGCTGTTCCAAAGCAATGAGTGTGGAGCGGTGTGGAGGGGGAGTGGGCTATCAAGCCCTCAAACAGCGAGTCTGCAGCGGTGCTGACTTGAGACCGGTCTCTACCTGACCGGAGTCACGCTGTGTGTGTCCGTCAGGAAACAAGCTGTTTCCAAGTAGTTCCAGCAAACATCCACTGATAAACTACGATGTTAACAACCTCATGATAACCTCATATGTTTTAACTTAGGATCATACCTGTGTTTAGTCTAGAAAAAGGTAAATGTGTGCATTTTATTATAAAGTTGTGTATATTTACAGACCGTTGCAAAAACTAAGAAGCTTATAAACATCAGGTTTAAAACTAAAGAGCTTTGAAACACAA